CACAGAAGAGTTAGGTTTATTGACAAAGCACCCAGAATATAGAATTGGCATAAGAGAAATAAACAAGAAAAATATTAGTCTGAATTTCCAACACCTGCCTTAAATTAGCCTCCTTCAACATGCCCTCTAGATGGATGGGACAACACCTGCAGCCCACATGGGCAGTTCGTTGAGTAGTTGTTGAGAAAGGATGATCTAGATCAGTGGTTCTTAACCTTTGTTACTCAGATGTTTTTGAACTGCAACTCCCAGAAACCTCAGCCAGCAGAGCTGATAGTGAAGGCTTCTGGGAGTTGCAGTCCAAAAATATCTGAGTAACAAAGGTTAAGAACCGGTGATGTAGATGTTAAAAAAAGATAAACAAGAAAAACTGGAGAAATAGGTCCTATCATGCATGGCTCCAGAAGAGGTGCTATTAGTAGTTTTGGAGTACAAATTGAACATTCTTCTGTCTGGACCTCCACTAGAAGATGCAGTGTGAAATCACAGAAGAGCTTAGTAGAAGGTTTGCCCAGACATTTATAGGAAGTTGTTCACAAAATGCATGCAATGGCATGACGTGTTTCAGGAAGAAAGATCAGAAATTTGAGCAACATGACGGTAACACATGGAACCAAGATGTCTTTTTGTTTCTTAGGAATGGAATTATATAAGAAACAGAAGTTAGATATAAGCAAACAGATTGTATGCAATTCCTCTATCTTCATTTTCCCCCCTATCTACTTGTTGCCAGTTTGCCAGTGTCTCTATAACTTTTATGGATTGGTATCCATAAAAGTTTGATAAATTTACATCTCATTGGAAAGTCAAGCAGTGGGACCATTGTTGCCAGTTTGCCAGTGTCTCTATAACCGGGCTTGCCTATGGATTGGTATCCATAAAAGTTTGGTAAATTTACATCTCATTGGAAAGTTAAGCAGTGGGACCCTGTTAGGCTTAACTTTGGTCTGATTGTACTCAATAGGCGTAGGGTTTTGGATTCTTTTGGCCTACAAGTCCCATAATTTTCCATTCTAAGAGTTCCATCTGACATATGGTGTCTACAGACACCTAAATGTGGCTCAACTGGGAGAAAGCCTAAACTGGAAGGTTTTGTGGCCCAGCTAGGCCTAGCTCCACCTAGCTTCCTGTCCAGAAAGAATGTTCCCAACTAGCACTGGGGCAGCTTCCTTTCAGAACTGTAAGCTCAGCAGAGCTAGGCTACAAAGGCATCAGTGTATCAGGTGGAACTCTCAGAATGAAGACTAATGGGTTCTGTAGTCTAGGAAATCCAAAAATCCTATACATAGTGCCCAATACGTGAGAGGTAATCCAGATGGAGGGGAAAAAAATCAATAAAACTAATCACTATTTTAAAAGAAAGAAAAACACTGTTGTATTCAGCAAGGAACTTCAAATTAGCCATTCTTAAGCACATAAGAATCAGCTTAATTCACTCAGATTACATTTAGTCCTTTAAAATTCTACATCTATTTTCTATCACTTTTCAACTGCAGGTAAACAAGACTGATATTCAATCAGCTTCTCATCATAATGTTGAAATGTAGAAAGTAGACCCTTGGGAGGTAAATAGCCTTGCAGATTAGTAACATCAGTCAAATCAGAGACTAACCAGGGGGCAGTTTTAGAAGTACATAACAGGAGAAGGAGCATAGATTTAGGATGGGGCTGGCATTCGTGTTGAAGGCTGCATAAAGTTTATTTCTCATCCAACTCTTTCTTTTCTCAAGCCTTCACCACATGGGATACATTCCATCTGCACAATTATTTTAATCTATTTAATTTTGCCTGTGCTCCCATATGTACCCTTTTCACCATAACTGTTAACCTCCTTATTATCTTACCCTGACAGAACTGCATTAATCTGATTGTTGTAATGAGTTATTTTGAATAGCTGCAGCTCAGAAGTTCCACTGATATGAGCAGATGACGGGATGTATTTCTTAGACAAATGCAAGAGAAAAATGATATGCTGCTCTATTCACCTACCCTTAAATATATGGCTCACAGTCCCAAATTCACTTTCTTCATTATTCATAGCTGCTTTGCTACCTTATTTGAGTAACTGAGTGGAGATTCCTTCTATCTTGCCTCATTTGGGCTTGTCTACATTAAATTCCTAGCTCGCTGAGTTTTAGCTTCTCCATTTTCTTCACCGTTAGTTCAGTGTCAGTAGCAGAGCTTGGGGAAATGACCTTTTTAGACTACAGCTTCCAAAATGCCCTGGCCAGCATGGCTGGCAGATGTTGGCTGGGCAATTCTGGGAGCTGTAGTCCAAAACAAGGAACATTTTTAGGTCCTTTTGATAGGCAGCTGTCTGGGGAATTCTGGGATCTGTAGTCCAAAACAAGGAACATTTTAAGTCCTTTTGATAGGCAGCTGTATCATAAAAAGAAATTCTGCATGATTGTTCAGCTTTGAAGTCCCTAAAACTGCTATGTATCTTCAGGGAAACTACACAAAAGGAAAACTCTGGGTCTCAAAATGGCTTTGTTTAGTTATCAACTGTAGCAGCTCTGCTTATCTTCAGCTGTTATTCTTGATTTGTTTTGCATGTTGATTATTGATGTGGTTCCTCCTCCCTCTGATGCAGGAGAGAAGCAGCCTGATTTAGAGATCACTTACTCTCCTGCCTGATGAAAGAATCAAAATTGGCACCTTTTCCAACTGTTTTTTAAAAGTTCTTCCTTGCTGTGCTTTTCAGGGATTAAAAAAATATATGCATCAACCGCCAGCAGCACAGGGCAACCTAAAATGCATTAGCATAAGAATTACTTGAATGATAAAATCAGAACTTCTTCAAGTCACTAACACAAACCAGAGGGGGAAAAGTGTCTCAAAGTGTGTGCAGTTCTTCTCAGACAAACCCATCCCAAATTCCTGCACCAAACTTCTGTGTTACAGCAGATAGTGCACATTTCTGAGCTTTGGCTATGCAAAATATGCCCAAGGCCATTAAAGTTGCTGGGAGCTGCAAACTCCTCTTGGCCTTTGCATCTCCTAGGGGAGCAAAAGAACAGAACTCTTTTGCAAAAAAAAAAAAAAGCCTGTCAAATATCATACTACTAAATCAAATTTCAGATGCCTTTTGGATTCTGGTCTACAGCATTTGGTCAATGAAAAGATTGTGTCTGGGATTGTGTCTAAATTGGGGGCTAGAGGCATACAATGAGAAATACGCAGCACCCAAATGCTAACTGCCATCTAAAAGGCCAATATTTAAAAATGCAATATATAAGACAAGTAATTGCTTACACCAAAGCTTAAAACATTGCACTTTATCTTTCCAGTATCAGTGGAAGCTAGTGACACATGAAAGACGAACAAATCCTAGGTCAGAACCTCCCACTGACATGAATTTTCTTTTTGTTTTTGATTTGTTTGGAGAAAGCATGGCTACCCATCTGGAACTGACACTGCCAATCAACTTTAACTGATTGTAAACAAGGGTATGATGGAAGGAAAGGTAGAAGCCAGGAGGGCAGTGGGTTAGTGCTAAATTTGGAAGCACGAGCACTCATCAGGATAATCCCCATCATCAGCCTATTCCCTATAACAGTGGTTCTTAACCTTGGGTTACTCAGGTGTTTTTGAACTGCAACTCCCAGAAACCCCAGCCAGCAGAGCTGGTGGTGAAGGCTTCTGGGAGTTGCAGTTCAAAAATACCTGAGTAACCCAAGGTTAAGAACCACTGCCCTATAAGGTCCAAAAATACAGGCAGCTAGATTAGTTTATATCAGGGTCTCCAGATTTTTGAGCATGAGGGCTACATCGTATATTTTTCACATTTTTGAGGGCCAAAGTAACATGTGCATGTCTGGCCGCATGGATGTCCGCCCTCATGCACACCCACATGCACCCCCGTCTGCCCGGACGCATGCATGCACCCTCACCCTCCCGGATGCCTGTGCACCGGCTGAAGGGAACGGATCAGATAAAATGACAAGGCAAGCTGGATGTGGCCTGTGGGCCGCAGTTTGGAAACCTCTCATCTATATCAATAGATGAGCATGAGGGCTTTTGTACAGCTGTTAGCTCTTAACTGTATATCGAAGACCAAATCCTCCTCAAATACTTTGCATTACAACTAGACATGGGAGATTCATATTCGTCTCCCAAGGGAATACAAATACATCTCCCAAGGAAGATGAATATGAATATCAGCACCACTGATGCCTGGGCCGTTTGGACCATCCCGGTCCGCTTACTGCTCGCCGTGCAGTATGCACTGCCATTGTAATTTGCAACCTGCCAACTATGTAAGTAGCTGAGCTGACACTTCCCCACCTGCCTGCACAACCAACCACTCTGACGCGGGGATGGGATGACAAGTCTCCCCATTCAGCTGCTGAATGATCAGCTGGGCAGGGAAGCAGTGGCCAGGCTACTTCTGTGATTGGCATACAGCAAACTACGACAGCTGTGCATGTCATGTGGTGAGTGGTAAATGGACCAGCTGTTTCAAGGGGAAGAATCCAAATGGCCTAGGCATCTGTGGTGCCAATATTCATATTTGTATTCTCTGGGAGATAAATACAAATATATCATGTCTAATAACAACATGAATAGCTTACAGCAATATATTTTGAGAAATTTCATTTCTCTCCCAGCTACTGTGAGAGCTGTACTCAAGCTTAGAGGGAATGAGAAAACCTGGCAGATGATATCGTTATCCTTGCTGCTCAAAAAGTCCTAAGCTTCAACTCAGCAACCCCTAGCTCCACTGTACCACCGTTGCAGGGAGGAAGCTAATGAGTGTTCAAGGAACAGGTAGTAAAGCAGACAAATAACTCCTAGGATACATACACGGATATGCTTTTAAGACTAAGACATTGGCCCAAATCCTCTTCCCTGGTTACACTGATGTAACACAAACAGTATAACTTTTTGAGGCAAATTGCCTTAAGTTAGGAATGATCAGCTGGGCAGGGAAGCAGTGGCCAGGCTACTTCTGTGATTGGCATACAGCAAACTACGACAGCTGTGCATGTCATGTGGTGAGTGGTAAATGGACCAGCTGTTTCAAGGGGAAGAATCCAAATGGCCTAGGCATCTGTGGTGCCAATATTCATATTTGTATTCTCTGGGAGATAAATACAAATATATCATGTCTAATAACAACATGAATAGCTTACAGCAATATATTTTGAGAAATTTCATTTCTCTCCCAGCTACTGTGAGAGCTGTACTCAAGCTTAGAGGGAATGAGAAAACCTGGCAGATGATATCGTTATCCTTGCTGCTCAAAAAGTCCTAAGCTTCAACTCAGCAACCCCTAGCTCCACTGTACCACCGTTGCAGGGAGGAAGCTAATGAGTGTTCAAGGAACAGGTAGTAAAGCAGACAAATAACTCCTAGGATACATACACGGATATGCTTTTAAGACTAAGACATTGGCCCAAATCCTCTTCCCTAGTTACACTGATGTAACAGAAACAGTATAACTTTTGGAGGCAAATTGCCTTAAGTTAAGAAATCACTATAGATATTGTGTGTTGCTCACTGAGGTGTGTGACTCAGTATGCAATTTATAATGTCTACAGTGATTTTTTTTAACTGTTGTATCTGTGGGGAGTTGTTTGTACACCAGATGGCATCCTCTATAAATGTGTGATCCCATCACTCCATGGTGCATGCCTGGAAGAGAAGAGGAAATCAGAAATCAGCTGCCACATAACACAGTTTACACCAGAGATCAATACATCTCTCTTTCACTCACACAAACACAAAATCTTTCTCTTTTCGGTGTTCTGTTTTGGTTGTTTAAACCTTTTCCTCACTTATATTTCATTACTGCTTTCTTTCGTACTTTATTCCTTTGTCTGTCTCATACTATCAATCTGATTTTTGTTCAGTTGGATTTTTTCCCTTTCATTTGTTTGACCATGGCAAAAGTCTCCCAAGGCTGTATAAATTCCTGTATAAATTCTCTGGTTATCTCTGTGGGTAAAGTAATTCCCCCTTTCACCTTCAGAATAGAAGTTTGTCTTCAGATTTTGGGCAGCCTGGCTATATCTCCAACCAAAGAGGTTCATGAAGACATTTCCTTTCCAAGTTGCTCAAGCATTTTCTTTTCAAGTTGGTTGATAACAACTGTGCTTCCTGTCCCAGAAACAGCTATGTGCTCCATCCCATGACATTTGTTTACTTCTCCCTTCAAGCTAATGAGTCCAAGACACATCTATGCCTATTGGTCTAGTTCAGAAGAGCAAATCAACTCAATCTAAGAGGCTAGACTATGGAGTGCAGTAGTCATCCATGTTCTCCAAACACTTTGGTGGGAGGGGAAGCACTACAGAGGAGAGCCATACTGGCACCCTTACACTTCTACCACATTGTTGTTCCATTTTCTAGAGTCTAGAAGACCCAGCTTGTACAAAACAACTGACACCATTCTTCACAGAGGAACTCAAGCTCCAGAGTCTATCTCTATTTAATGTACAGAAAGGCATTATGACAGAGAGATCTCAGGAGAGTGGAAACGCAAGATAGTGACCTTAAAAATTGGCTAGATGAACAGGTTTGAGTGGTTCTCTAAGAGCCTAAATAGAGATCAAGAATTCTTTGCACACTGCATATATAACCTAGTATTCTGTAATATCTTATAGGTATAAGTGATCCTAATATTGACAATATGATATTATACCATGGTGAAAAGTACCCCAACACATCCAGCAATTATTTTTTTACATCTCAAACCTAAAATACTGTTAAATTCTTTGTCATTTCTTCAACATAGCCTGCACTGCCATAACAACACATGGATCCCCAAAATATCCTCACCTTTATACAAGGAATTTGTTTTTAGTTAGACAAAGAGATGTCTAAATGCCAATAAATTTCATTTTACCTATCAGTGAACAGCCTGATCCTATGGATACTTTAGAAAAAATATAAAGCATTGCCATCAGCAATGAACTGGAGAATTGTGGACCTTTTCAATGAGGTAACCACATATAAAATAAAAAGATAGTAACATCTGAAATATTAATAGATTTGTTTCAGTGTGAACTTTCCTGGGTTACAGTCAACTTCTAATTGTGGTAATATGTAGACATGATAAATTAAAGAGGACTACAGCCAAACACAGAGGTTATATACAGACAGGAAACATCTGCTGGGATCAGTAGTTTTATCTCCTCAACAAGACTATTTGGAAACTTGAACTTGTTTAAAATATGGCAGCTAGATTATTAACTGGAACCACCAGACATGAGCTTGGGACATTCCAAAGCTAGATGCTTCAAAACAAACAAACAAACAAACAAAAATCTGCAAAGTCCAATCAGGCAGGCAGGAAGCAGCAGCAACCCTTGCTTCTAATGGTTTTGAAGCTGTACTCCTAGAGAAACAAAAGTATATGAATTTCCATGGGGACTGTGTGTGGTGGATTTGAGATGTCCGTGGATGGGATATTTCCTAGCCATCTGAATAGATCCTACAATTGCAAGTTCAGGTCAGGAATAGCTTTAGCCAAAGACAAGATATTGGCTCAGTGGCAAAAAAAAGAAAAGAAAAGAAAAAAGAAAGGAAAAGGATTACTGAGCCAAATTTTGCTCATTTGTTTGTTTTTAAGACATATTATACACACTGAGTGACAAACTTGGGAACATCGTTTGTGATAATTCTGCTGTAGGGTCTAGTTCTGAGAGAACTGTGCAAAGAATTCTTTAGGGGAGTAAGATGCCTCGTCCTATGAAAGTACATCCATAATTTCTTTGCTTACTTTGTTTTTACTGACTGCTCCTACTGTTATTTACTTGCAATGAACTGTATTTTGAACTACCTTTATGAGACACACTGCTGGGCGATATGATGGAAAGGTTATGTGTGTTATACAGAAAATCAATCAATGCCTAACTGTTGTTCAAAGACTCCAGTGCAAGTAAATTAAACTGCAGCCCAGGACTTAACATCAAACTGCCTTCTTCCAGTAATTGTCTCATTTGACTTTTCAACTGGGCATTTTTATTTAAAAAGAAAAGATTATCTTTGCTTTTTTTCCCCCTAAGACAATAGTCTTGTGAAATTTAAAATAATATGGAAAAGATTGCCATGAGTGATATAGTTACTGTACTGTCTGTTACGTACTGCAGCATACGGTGAGAAGTGGGTAAGAGTGTGAAGGCAACTGAAAAAAAGATTTAAATAGCAAGAAACTCCATGCAGAATTTAACAAAAAGTCCCTGGGTTTTTTAATTTTCACCTTCTGAGCTCAATAAGATGGAATGGCTGCATTCCTTGACAAAAGAAGTCTGGTTTTGTAAGCCTGACACGTTCTTATCTGGATGTCTTTTGCTCATTAGTCCTAGGTCAGCCTGAAGGATATTTCAAAGGTCTTACACCCACTCTCACATACAATGTGTGATATTAGGTTCATCTATTGACCTTTGCAAGTTAAACAGAAGTATATTGTGACAAAATGGGTCTGCGTGGAACTAGAACCTCACCCCTCTTTTAGAAGTAATTGTTTCTTTCCATGGTTGTAAGGTGTACACCTTTAGTAAATTATGAATCTTCTTCCGTGGGCACATTGTAGATACAGCAGCATTGGTTAAGAAGCTTCTCAATGCAGGAAAAGGGTTCCCTAGGGCAGGCGAGGAAAACAAGGTTAACTTTGGATTCGATGCTTTGAAGAAAAGCTGTTAATGCAGGCTGTTGCCTGCAAAATCTCATGCTAAATTAAAGCCAATTTGTCACAAGCAAGTTGTGGTTGGTTGTAACATTCTAAAATCCCAAATACACAGAGTAGACATTACCTTTGGATTTGCATTAGTTGCTTAAAAATCTATTGCTTAACATTTAAAAGATGGTGCCAGTGCAATAGAACCACATAAAAATTAGAAAGATACTTGGAGATTGTAGAATGCAGATGGTAGATTCAACCATGTACAAAAAAAGTTCTCTAATATTAGCTTTATAAATAATGCAGTGCCTTATACAAGTGACATTTAAGAGGGTTCCCCAGGTAGAGGGTCCCACTTGGTTCGAAAGATTCATTATTTAACTACATTAGTGGTATATCTACTGTCTGACAAATTAGGAATTAACTAAACAGTCAGCTTACTGAAAAATGCATCTAAGGCTAGAATTCTGTTGATGATTTATATTATTGTAAGTACTCTTGCAGAAGACATTGCTTTAAAAGATCATGGACCCTGTCCCACACATAGGCTGCTAATAGGAGGTTGTTTGTGAACATTGTATAACATGTATTGTACCTTTGTATAACCAATTGGATACAAAGGTACAATCCAAAATACCTCTTTATATGTATATTTATACCATACAACTGCCAAACATAACAAAATACCTCTTTATATGTATATTTATACAACTGCCAAACATAATACTGGCCTTAATCTTATTTTTAGTACAGTTTTTGAGTTTGAGATGTACTATATACCTCGCCCATCATCTACTGGTAAAGAGGATCAAACGAAGCATACTATGCTTCAAACATATTCTTTATTTTACAAAATAAAGCAAGACAGGAAAACCACATGCAACAAAAGATTAGGTGGGTCCATTTTTTTATTCTGACTTGGGACCATATAAGGATCCAAATATGGAATAATTACTCAAGCACTTCCAAGTATCATCTCCAACATGGCAGATCATTTCTGTGGGTTTTCAGAAAAGATAGATATTTGCTTTTTAAAAAAACTTTGTTAAATTATTTCATGGGACCTCAGAGGTTCACATATTTAGAGCTTCCAGAGTCCTCTCGGAATAGAACAAGAACCTTAAGCCTTTGAAAAACAAAATTCTGTTGTAGTTATACCAGTTGTATGTGATCTGTTAACAACTCCCTCTGTTTGCTTAATTAAAAAAAATCATTAAAACGTAAGGCAAAATACAAACACTCAAACATGAAATAGCCAACTAGAATAAATAAAACCACCAACCATGAACTTCAATACACAAGAATAAAATCCCTGAAGACGTTAACATTATCTTATAATATCTGAGATCAGAGAGAGAAAGAAAATGTTCAGCTGGTGTGAAAAAGAAAAAAAACTTCTGATTTGACAGAGGAGTGATATGTTTATATATCCATTCATTGTACTAAGTCTATGATTATAACTCTGCCTCTGTGCACTCAAGCTTTGGCTTGGTTTTTCAGCCATAATCCTTTTTCCTCTGCTATCTGGAGGGACATGCAGAAGTCACACATAAAGTTCATTAGAGAAGTTCCCTTTAGAAGAAGAATGTCACTGGTAACATGTGAGGGGGAAGGGTATTTATGCCCCCTGTTCTTAAACACACTCACTCACATACCTCCTGTTGGATAAACACACACTCATATGCTTCATCATATTTATATTTCTGACTATATCCTGCCCTCTTGTGGAAATCCACTATCATTATAATGCACAAGTCTTCCTGAAAACTGTATGCCAGGTTGGGGGAATCTGTCGTCTTCCAGATGTTTCTAAACTTCAGCTTCTAAGGGATTTCACCCATGTGACCAATGGTGAGGCATTAGGGGAAAGTTCACCATCATTTAGAAAGTAATATTTTCCAAGTATCAAATGGTGAGGCATTAGGGGAAAGTTCACCATCACTTAGAAAGTAATATTTTCCAAGTAGCAAATACTAAGAAGTGGTTTACCATTCCCTTCTTCTGGGGCACCCTGGGACTGTGCAGTTTGCCCAAAGCCAAACAGGCTGGCTTACCTCACAGGAGGCACAGTGGGGAGACAAATTCTCAACCTCTGGCTTTTAAGTCACTGAAACTATCCAGTTTTCGACACCTCTTTTTATTATTTCAACATTCTATACATACAAAATTTCACATCTTGACACTTTAGCATCTGGGAACATTAGGGACATCCTGCTAGAATCTGTGATCTTCAGTGGAGGCTCTGTTGCGTCCCTCAGCACCCCAGGAAGGTAGGCTGGTGAACACATGAGTCAGGAATTTCTCCAGAACATCATTTTATTGTGGAATTCCTTCCCAGGGGACATTACACTGGCTCCGTCCTCAATGAGTTTCCAGCAGGCAGTTAAAACTATGCTATTTTCTATGGATTACCCCAAACCAGTTTCTAAACTTCCAAAGAAAGAGATTACAAAAAATGATCTGTGATCTATTACTAAAATATATTTTTTCCTATTTTTTAACCTGTATCCATTTTTATTGTATAGTGCTTTAGAAACCTTTGTAGCCAAAAAAGCAATTGAAAAATACTAATCTTTATTTCTAATACTAATACTTTAATAGAGGAATATATAAAGCACCAAAAATTAATGCTGCCTTACTGTGTTTAATGTTATATTCATATATCATTCCACAGCCAACAACATCCAGATTATAGTATGCCATATAGAATTTAAATATATTTGCCATTTTAACATTTTTAATCACTATTGTTGGGTGACATTCTCTTCATTGACAACAACAAGGAGCTATCTAATATGTCAGGGAATGAAGATTTCCAGAGAAGCTGATCAGCTATGAGGTGACAAGGAAACAAGCCAGAGAAACAATTGCCTTAGTCACTTTTATGGCCCAGTTTTATTACTAGCCCTGTTGCCCAGTCCCTTCCTTTCACATCAGCAGGACTATGATCCTGAAGGGCTCAGAGAAGGTCTCCTCCTCCTCTGTCTTCGTCTCCTTCCCTATCAGAATTTGGATGTTGCTTTTGTGAGAAACGCTCACCCCTTGGCTCCAATTGTGAGAAATGCTCACAACCTTGTTACTCAAATGCAGTAACCAGACAACCACGAATACAAGCAGCTCTCTTTTATTAAAAAAGCAGTTTTACAAAAGCAGGTGTCCTAACTAGGTAGGCAAACCTATCAATATAGGTATAACCACGAATACAAGCAGCTCTCCTTTATTTAAAAAAAGCAGTTTTACAAGAGCAGGTGTCCTAACTGGGTAGGCACACATATCAATACAGGTAGCATGATATTTATGCCCTACTCCCGGCCACATGGTCCCTCCCTTGTTTCCCCATTGGTCTGGGTAATCCAAGGTGTACAGCCTATCTGATATGCTTAAACTGATCACAGGAAGTCCCTCCCCTGTTTACATCTCTCACTCCTCTCTTTACCTAGACCCCAGACTCTTATTTATTTCTATCCTTATTTGGTCTATGTTCCCTTTTCCTAACCTCCCTGTGGTCATTCTAACTGACCCATTAAGTTCCTTCATTCTTACCTAGGCCTACTCACTCAATCTTCTTGTCAGTACAACAGGGTACCTCCCTTATTTGTACTTTCGTCTTATAATTCCTCATGACTTCTTTAAATTCCTTGTGTGGTCTAAAGAGTATGTACTGATTATTTTATCATGACCATTTACTCAATAATCCTGTCCTTACATGGACTTGCAAAAGCTGCACTGATTCCTCTATTTCTCTCATTGTGACATTGTATACAGCAGCTCTAGACCATGATGTTGTGTTGCATCCATAGTGAACTGCAAGGTTTTTCAGCCAATTTTTCAAGGAAGGCAGCTTCATGTTAACAGATGGGAACTGTCATATCTGGTGTCACTTGTGCTCCTGGTATGTTTGACTCATTGTTGGCCTCAAACAGTTTGTGGGAGTAATTTTGGAGCTGGAGAATGTGACAAGACTGGGTGCCCTGAATGTATATTTTATACAGATGGGGTATATTTTTAGCATTATGCCATAAGGTTTATTGCCAATCTCTAGCAACAGGAGGAGGGGGGGAGGAGGAGGAGGTGGTGGTGGTGGTAACAAGTCTGCATCACAATTAAAACTAGCATCCCCCCAATCTCCAAGTATCTAGAACCTCTTCCCAACATAAATGAAATTTTATAGCCACTATCCAGGTCTCTATGGTCATTACCTAACTAGAGAAAGAGCATAACTGGCAGGAGTACAGTCTCTCAGAGTTGACCAGAAAGTGAACACTAACAAGCCAAACCATCAATATTTACTTCTTGGTGAACCCTAAGAGACTATACTCCTCTCTGCTGAGCTCTTTTCTGAGAGGGGAGGCATGACAGCCACATACACATGCTGTCTTTGAATCCAAGGATTCTTCTAGAGATGGGGACAAATCATTTTGGTGGGTCGTCTTGGTTTGGGAGTCATCAAGGTTGATCCATGAATTTGCTCCCAGTAACCGGATGAACCATTAATTATTTGTCAGTTCCTTGGATTTTTTAAAACTGGCCTCCTTGCCCCTTCCCACTGCTGTATCACTTCTCAATCCCTAACTTATCCTACTGTCTCCTCCTGCTCCTCTGCCACTGCTGTCTCCACTGGAATGGAGGCTAAGCTGCTGAAACAGCGGTTTCTGTTCCAGCAGCCTAGCTTCTGTTCCATTGCAAATGAAGGGGGGATCTTCTGCCACTGCTGTCTCCACTGGAATGGAAGCTAAGCTGCTGAAACAGCGGTTTCTGTTCCAGCAGCCTAGCTTCTGTTCCATTGCAAATGAAGGGGGGATCTGCCTAGAGTAGCTTCTGTTCCATTGCAAATGAAGGGGGGGATCTAGCCGCCTAGAGTGGTCACGGTGACCAGATGGAATAAATAAATAATAAATAAATTTCCTTCAGTCAGTCTTCGACTCTCTGCCTATGCTTGCATGGGATCCATGGAGGCATCGGCAGAAATAAATAAATAAATAAATTTCCTTCACTCAGTCTTCGATTCTCTGCTTATGCTTGCATGGGATCCACAGAGGCATCGGCAGGTGATGGAAGCCTGTCTGAAGGGAATCACCACTGTTTGCAATAACAGCAGGACTGATTCCCTTCAAAAAAGAAAAAGTGTGTTTCAATCAGGCTTCCTCTCTGTCTCTGCCAAGCAGATCAGCTGGTCCATGTGAACATAGGCAGAGAGATTAATGGACAAATATAAGAGATGTATATTCATCCCTTCGTATTCATGGTGGGTCTCCTGATCTCACAAATAGGAAGGGATGAATATCCAATGAATCAGCAATATTCAACAAATTCTGTATCCAATGAATCAACAATATTCAACAAATTCTGTGATTTGATTTGTTTTTATATTTGTTCCCATATTTAGTTTTTTCTCTGCAGCTGAAAAGATTCCTTTATTCTCCTACTTGGTTGTTCCAAACTGTACTTTGGATCACTCTAGAACCCAGGAAAATATACAGACTGAGTTCCACTATGTAAGAATAATATTTGGCTACTAAACAGGGACACCATTTGAGGTTTTCCAAATGTATGGCAAAATGTAGGAAAGACCTGAAGCCTAGTTTTAACTAAACAATTAATTCACATCTGGACTGTTCATCAGAAAACTTACTGACCATAGCTATTTTCTATGGCAGCAAGGTTCCTATTAGCATACAGGAAAGTTGAAAGTGAAAGCAAAACAAAATAAAACCTTCATCATAAGCTAGAGCATAAATTAAACGTTCCTCTTGTACATATATAAGTTCCAATTTACAGAGTAACAGAGGCAAATTGAACTTTCTACCAATCATATAGTAACTGTGGGACTACAGGAGCAGCCCTTTTTTAAATGTGTGTTTTGGCACAAAAAATAAACATGTATATTTTGCATTTGAAATCCTGTATTTTGCACAATATATAAGGTCTTCATGTAAAACATATTTTGTGCAATAAAATACACATCTGCAAATTTTTGAATAAAAAGTATCAAATTACAAAACAAATGCACAAAAACGTCCATAATCTTAATTGATGGGGACAAAACTTGTGTGATTTTTGTTTGTTGCTTGCAAGAAGAAAATAGGCAGAGATTTACCCCTCACTCCCATTCATCCCCTTGACAAATGGTCTGACTTGGTATGAGGCAACTGTCTATATTCTTAAAACATAGCTAGTCATGCCTTACAACTGTTACTTATATGAAGGCCTTGCTCACCATTTTAAACATGGCACACTAATTGTAAACCACACCAATTTTAAAACATGCTATTATATCCTGAGCTAATAACTATTTAAAGTGAAGAATATACCAGCTGCTCCCTGAGTCCTGAGAAAATTACAATAATGTTGCTCAATATGGGAGGCATTCCACTTCACTCAGGTATAACTGCACTGCACCATAGATCTTTGTTGCCATCGGTAACAGGTGCTTAACATTTGCCATAGCAACTGCTATACTGGAGCAAGTTGAGAACTCCTGGAGGACAGTGTATGGGCTTCAGTCCATTTTCTAATATCTGTAATGTGTAACCAAAGGTAATTGCATTCACTTCCATTCATGGAGAAGGGAGGAAAACAGTTAAGGAATCTTAGGAAAAAGTAAAATATGCCTGTACCATATATTCTTCACTTCCTTTGCCATCTGTTGAAACTTAAGGGGACAATAATGAAATGAGCTGGCTTTCAAACAATCGTCTCAAAGAGAGTTGTACCTGGAATATCCAGTGGAGTCTAATGTTCAAGAAAAAATGTACTGTACTTGTAACAGAGCAAGCTGAAGCCATTTTGCTATTTGAGCTAGATCAGCAATTGGCATTCTTCTTACCCTCCAAAGGTCATAGTACCCAGTACCCACGGTGAGCCAAATTATTTTTGCAATAGAGGCAGAGATTTTCTCGAGTTTTCCTTTCCATCCCCCCTGGCAGTAAAAATACAACAGTACATTAATAGCAATTTGCTGCCTTTTCATAATACTCTTAATTAGAGATGGGCATGAACCACCAGTTCAGTGGTTTGTGCTGGTTCGTTTATCAGTTCAGTGCTTCATAGACCTGCTTCCTCCTTGGGGGGCACTCACTCAGAGGAAGCGGCCTGGCTTCGCTGCCCTGCTGTCTCCAGGCGATGCCTCTGAGTGGGTGCTCACTAGAGGAGGTGGAGCTTTGAGCCCCTGTTCAGCCAATAAGGAAACGGGCGCAAACCACTGAGTTAGTGGTTCGTGTCTATCTCTACTCATAATCCACCAAAATACTCTTAATTAGAGATGGGCATGAACCACCAGTTCAGTGGTTTGTGCTGGTTCGTTTATCAGTTCAGTGCTTCATAGACCTGCTTCCTCCTTGGGGGGCACTCACTCAGAGGAAGCGGCCTGGCTTCGCTGCCCTGCCATCTCCAGGCGATGCCTCTGAGTGGGTGGTCACTAGAGGAGGTGGAGCTTTGAAGCACTGAACCCCTGTTCAGCCAATAAGGAAACCGGCACAAACCACTGAGTTAGTGGTTCATGTCTATCTCTACTCATAATCCACCACCTGAAGCAGTTCACTCACTTTTGCAAAATACCATGCTATCCTCGCTTTGTAATTACTTCCATTAAATTTCTTTATTCTGTCACAGTCAATGGATGTCCTTACAAAGGCAAGGCATGGGCTAAAGCTCAAATAACACTTTTCTGCTCTTGCTTATTTGCATTCATTTTCTGTGGCTTATTTCCCTGTCTGACCATGAACTATCATGGTCAACTAAAAGGATTCCAAAATAATTACATGGTACTTCCTGACTGTTCTCTTGAAGCTGCTTTAAGGCATATGAAGAAAACAATGTTCTTGCCAGTTAAAGTTAAGGAAATATTTATTGTCTCCCAAAGGGCTTCCAAGCTTGCTGAATCAAGAGACATTCTCCCTGTGGATTTTGAAGCAGCTGAAATGTTTTGAAGGGTGAGTTGTTCCAAATGAGTATGCTTGTTAAAGGCCCATCTGCTGTTGTGTCTACAGTAGAAAGAACAGGAATAGAACAGCCTTCAAATTTTCTGATCCACCATTCCTAGAATACCTGCCCATTGCCCTTTCTGGATGTGGCATATTGGATTCGTAGACAAAAAGTTGTCCATCTTGCTTCAGTGAATATGGGAAAATCTCTGCCGAACTAGAGCATCTTTTTATGCGGTGGTGGCAAGCAGGCACAAGGATCCCCCTCCCCAACACACACACTGGCCATCAAACTCATTTCTGGCTGGGCTTCTGGCCATCTTATTTGGTCTACAGCATCCACAAACACCCAGAGCCCAGAAAGAGGGGACACATAAAAGACTAAGAGGTACACTTGACGCAAGCAGAGGGAGATCAAGAGCAGCAACCACAGAAGGAGAACCGAAGTCACTATAGCAAACTGCTGCTCCCCCTAAGGCAACAGACTATGGTTCCTGTTGTCAGGAAGGGTAAGATCAGATCAAGAGCAGCAACCACAGAAGGAGAACAGAAGTCACTATAGCAAACTGGTGCTCCCCCTAAGGCAACAGACTATGCTTCCTGGTGTCAGGAAGGGTAAGATGAAGGAAAGAAGGCAAGAATGAAGGAAGCATCTCCTTGACCATCAGTCTGGAAATGCCAGCAGCTGGAGCCAGGGAGTTGGATGCTAGCTGTGGAGAGAGATCTCTGGAGTTGTATGGAACTAAAATGACTATGCCCTGCCCTGCCTGGCAGAGTTTTCTTCAGACAATAAAGGCTACATTGATATGCCTCATTCTGGAGGAAGGGCATGAGGCCAGCTGCCAGCTCTACTTCTGAGAAGCAGGAGACTAAAGCAAAGACTGGCCCTTGCAGAGAGGAATCCTTCCTTCTAGATGCCAGAGGGGCTGGAGAAGAATGATCCCCTCCACCAGTCCATTAAAAACGTCAGTACAGTGGTGCCTCCCAAGACAATGTTAATTCGTTCAGCGAAAAATGCTGTCTTGCGAAAACATCTTGTGAAATGTCATTCCCCATTGGAATGCATTGAAATCTATTTAATGTGTTCCAATGGAAAAATCATCATCTTGCGAAAATCATCCATCGAAATCATCGTCTTGTGGAACGCAGTTCCCAGTTGGAATGCATTGAAATCTATTTAGTTTGTTCCAATGGGGAAAAATGTGAAAATTGCCCATAGAAAATATCATCTTGCGAAGCGCAACAGCAATTGCAAAAACCAATCATCTTGCGGATTAATCGTCCCGCAAGGCAATCGTCTTGTGAGGCACCACTGTATTTCAAACTGCAAGAATTTAAAGCACAGCTGAGAAGGAAAGTGCATCTCATTTCATGGCCCACCTATACCACATAACAGAGCAACTGCAGCTGGGATAGGGAGTCACCCAGCCAGGAGCCCACAAATGCAGAAAACAAAATGGAACAGAATTGCTAAAACCACTGCTTTTATTTTGATGGCTCCTTGCCCCTGCTTCCTGGCTTCAGCACTCTTCGTCTCCACTGATCTCCTGCCATCCTCATTTGGACTGTTTACTGATCCTGCTTCTGACTGCTCCCTGTTTGGATTGCCGACTTGCTATGTAATTGATTTATGGATTGACTCTGGCTTTGTACTGTGATTATCCTCTGCCTCCTCCCTGAACTCTTGTGATGTCTTTTCCGTGGGGTGATTTGGATCATTCTTGGACTTTCACGTAGCTTCATGTCTGCCTGGCCAGCAACCTTGAACAGTTGAGTGCCATGGAGAAATACAACCAGGAAGACAAATTATAGTAGGATAACTTTTCCGAGAGAATGACTTTGTCAGCATGACCATATCAACCCTCCTCCTCCTGCGGCCAGGAACACTGGTTGAAAAAAAAATATGCTGCCTTCCTAGTTCATCATGCATTGTGAACTCTGACTGGCAGTGACTCTCCAGTGTTTTAGGCAGGCCTAGCCCTCACTTAAGATATCTAGTACTCCCTACCTCATCCTGGTAATAAATATATCTTGGCACAAATGGCCTTCCAAAAATCTCCACCTAGTTGTGGAGAAAAGATTCCACCAAATGTCTCCAGGAATCTCCCAAAGGCAGGGCTCAACATTAGCAATGGTTTCAGCACAGCTTTGTTTTGTTCTTAGTTCTGCCCATGTGAGGCAAGGGGGTGGGTGGGTTGGATGCTCTGCTCTCAATTCACAATCCCAGAAGATGGGAAGTTGACAATTGCTCTTGGCTCTTATTCCTCAGAACCAACTCTTAGACAAGCTGCTTTTTTGCACTACAATCCCTAGCCCCACAAACCAGCATGAACACGACACATTCTGGATGAAGAATTCTGACAGCTATAGAGCAAAAAATACTAGGAAAGCGATCTGCTCTCAGCCGGTGTTAACAGCAGATAATGGGAATCTGGAGGGAGCAGCGGTTTGGGAAGGGGTCAGTGGAAACCTTCTGTTGGAATTTTATTTGCAACTTTGTGTGTGATTTGTGTGACTGGGAGGGACTTTCTGGGCTGGGGTATCTATCTCTCCAGCACTAACCAATTGTTCCTTCCAGCCTTTGGATACATAGAGAGCCCCACCTCTCTGCTGAATGTATTTTCCCTCTCTTTCTTCTGTTAGTGGCAGTTGTTTATTTGATGCTGCTCTGGTTGGTTGGTTGCCAATGTATGTGCAGTAAAGAAAGCAGCATGCACAAATCTGTAATTTCAAGCAATTGTAAATAAATATTTTTAAAAAATTCATTTCACCACAAATATCTCAGAGTGCATTACTGAGACTGTATATATCAGTTGATGAGAAAGAGGTGGACTCTGGGAAACTTGTAACTGCTATCCTTTGTGAGTCTCTGTATACCTACTGTGTAGCAAAAGATAGTTTATCAGAAATTTAAAACTCTGCTACGCCAAAACTCTGCATTTCTCCTCTGAACTAGTGCTGCCAGTGCCTTGTATTTGAGCATTTTGTGTATTTTTTTCACAGTAATGTTAATGTTTGTAATCTACCCAGAAAACTTCTGACTCGTCTTGATTTTAGAAAACCTTAAAAACCAAATTTTTGTTGGTGACGATTGAAGAAAAAGAAAACAACACTACCCTCTAGTGTTCTGCCAAGAAACTAAGTCAAATTAATAACTAAGAATTTATCCTGAATGTAGTTAGAATATGTATAATTGCTTCAGAACAGATACTTGGGTGATGTGATCCTCAAAATAATGTACCTTTCATAAGATACTCAGGACTGCTGTCCATTATTTTGGGGAGAATCTCCCCCTAGATTGTACACTGATTGTACAAACTGCTTCTTTTAAAAACCAAGAAAGTGTTACTAAATTCACACATTTTTTTTCATTTTTTTCCTGCAATGGTTCCTATTTTTTAATAACATTTCTATTTTAGATGTTCTCTCGTGAGCTGAAGGCATACTCAGTTCTTCTCCACCCCACTTTATCATCCCGACCACCCTGTGAGGCAGGTTGAAATAAGACAGCATGACTGGCTAAAAGTAAGGTGATGAATAGAGATGAGGAGGAAGCACCAAAATGGAGCTGCGTCTTGGTTCATGGGTCGTCAAACTTGACAACCCATGAACCACAAATTGCCCCCCCCCCGGTGGCCCAACCAACCACGAATCAATTTGTCAGGTCATACTTTTTTAGACAGCCCCTGGAGCTATCTTTTTAAAAAAAAGCCCTGGCCCCACAGCCTTCCTGTGCCGCATGGCATAGGAAGAGGAGGAAAGGGATCAAAGCGATCCCCCAGCCCCACTGCCTTCACAAAGGCTTTGATCCCTTCCCTCCTCTTCCTATGCCGTGTGGGCACAGGAAGAGGGGGAAAGGGGAACCAAGCCATTCCCCAGCCCCAGGGGTGAGATTCCCTTCAGGCAGACTTTAGCAAGCTGCCTGAAAGGAAAACCTCTCTCTGATTATGCCCCTAAGGAACAGCTGATCTGTGGGGGTATAAGCAGATAGGGAATGAAGGGACGAATATGAAAGGGTTATATTCACTGCTTCATATTTGTTGGGGTCTCTGGACCCCAAGAATACAAAGCAATTATTATCTGATGAGTCAGGAATACTTATTGAATATCCTGATTCATTTTTATATTCATCCCCGTGTCTAGTGAGACCCAAAAACCTTAAATCAGTTTTCTAAGCACACCACCATTTTTGCTGTCCTGAAGGTGTCTTGCAGTGAACCAGTTATCCAGTTTGTCAGATCCAGTACTCAAGTTAATCTCTTATCAGCTGACGGATTATTCTTGGAGAATTCTGGGAGTTGGAGTGAAAAAAAAATCTGAAAGACAACACCCCAGTAACCAGTTACAGCCAAAACATGGTTATAAATCTCTCAGCAGACCTTGGTGCTCAAGAGACAAAAGTCTAGCATGCTTCTGGTTTCATATGCATGTTCAAAGGCACAGCATTTATGCATAGCCACATCCTTACCAATCCTTACCAATCTTTTAGTAAATAAAATAAACAAATAAATATGAGGATTCAAACATCTTTATAGTGTTTGTGTTTAGGAAATACACATACAGGCAAGCTGCCATACAATTTAAAGCATAGGAAAGGAACCACTGGCTTTTTAGATGTTTCAGTCTGCAAATTCTGCAACCCCTTATTTATTGACTGTGGTGCATGAGGCTGATGGGAGATGGCATCAAGGACATCTAGAAAATTAAAAGTTTTCTATCCTCAATTTAAAAGCTGCCATATTTTCTGTATTTAACTGTAAGCATGGCTTGGAATGTTGATTTCTTTTATTGGATGGCTTTAAGATACAAATTGTGGTGTAAGTAGCAGCTAAATCAATATCAGCAAGAGATTAGGAAGCATTCTAGCCACCTCTCTATGTTACATAAGAATCTATTTCATGGCTGTTAAGTCAACCATGGAAGTAAACAAAGGAGGGGAGGAAATACTCCTAGAATCTTAAAATGTGGACAGAATAAATTAGTACCTGAGCAAGATAGTCCACCAGCACTTAGCATTTAGGCTACCTGGAAAAATAGGGCCAAAACAACTTACACCCAGTGCAACCCACTTCCATGGCAGATGAACTCAGCTGTTAGTCAAACCTGCATGTCAAAGTCCAAGATATCACAGACAGGCTCCCACCATGGACAAGGGCATCAGGACCCAGTCCTCCACACAGGTTATCAAGTCCAAAGACACTCACTATGCAGCTGGCTGTGACCAAGCAGAGGCAAGAACACTGGGCTGGAAGCCAGGTCACAGGACTGGGAGCACAGAGCCAGAACAATGTACTGAAATGGAGGAGACCAGCAGAAGCAAGCAGGAAAAGGAACACTGGACTCCAGATGCTAAGATGCAGGAGCAGCACAGCCAAAGTTGCTGTGATAAGCTCTGGTAAGGAGAACAACTCCTTAAATAGGTCTTCCCTCCAGGTTTCCAGGTGAGCCTCATGAGTAGCCCAGCAGCTGCTACACAGCCAAGGGCCTGAGCCTGCAAACACCAAGCCATTCCTGGTTCAGGCTGGCCCCAATCCTGCAGCTGCCAGGGCAGTGTGGGCCAGATCCTGATACTCCTTATCTGCTATGTCCATTATTTGCCTCACCTTTACTTTACAGAAGTCATATTTTGCCATCCTAGTACAGTAAATGCAACAGAAACTTCCATTGTTAATTGCTTTGACCATACATCAAGCCCCAGTGAGTTATTGCACTGGCACAAACCAGCTGTTTTCAGTTGAAAGGAAACATAAACATCTGAGAGGAATATAAAAATAAGGAGGCAAGAGACACATACATGCAACCCCATACACCATTACACCACACACAAACACTAGATACCAACACCACTGATGGGAGTGTCATATAGCAGCAGCAGCAAATAAGCACAACATGGATTTTTCTCCATAAATTCAAATTGGTTTCGCTGGGTGAACACTTAGAATGATTTTCTGTGTGTCCAGTAATTTGCTTAAAGACTAACGATTGCTCAAAGTTATAATGCTTTTTTACTTTTAAATGACGTGTTTTAGAGAAATATTCTCTGCTTTTTCTTTGTGCCTTTTTATGCTATAAGCTCCTGCATTTTAGAATGTTATTAAAACATTCTTTTTGGTATTTTATTGTACTTTTTATGCCCCTATATTTTGGATTGAATTCTGACTTACGTATTTGCCTGGAACCACCGTCGAAGTTTCATCCATTTTTTAAACATTTGTGCCTATAGTTTTCCATAGCTGTAGGACCTTTGGATGTTTTCAACAACTTAGAAGTACAAGTTCCATACTTTTGTGCATACTATATGGAACATAGAAGTAATGTAGAGAAATAAAGTTTGTAAAATTAGATGAGCTGATGTTGCCTGGAATTACTACAACAATAAAAAAAATGTATATCTTGATACCCAGATAAGTTTTGAAATGATTGGAAATGGTTATCAGGTTTCATTCTGGAATTAACTCTCTTTCTGCAATAAATGTCAACTGGGACAAATACAGGTTTCTGATTTTTTTTTTTTCCCCCGGAGGTCTATAAAGTTCTGCAGGGCTCTTAGCAAGATGTTCAGGCTTTATGCTCTCTAACCGGACACCTTCCGGGGAAGCAGAATTTGTCCTCAGATCAAGGTCTATAAAGTTCTGCAGGGCTCTTAGCAAGATGTTCAGGCTTTATGCTCTCTAACCGGACACCTTCCGGGGAAGCAGAATTTGTCCTCAGATCAACCAGTGTCACCCTGCCCTGTCTTAATGTGAGGACTGGCCAAATTATTTCTAACATCACATTTGCCAACATTTTTTGGGGCCCTGTTGAAGCAAAATCAGCAAACTGTGGCATTGAAGACAAGAAAGTTTTATTTCACAGTTTGCCAGATATATCACAGTTGCCTTAAGTTTTGTCTTGTCAGGATGGGGGGACAGTGTTCCTTTTTACCTAAATACTGTATATGTGACTTCGTGGCTCAGTGAGTAAGGTATCTGACTCTGGAGCCAGAGGTTGGGAGATCAATTCTGCACAGGACTTCCCGGGAGAAGGTCCAGGATGCATAGCCTTGGGAAAGCTACACAGTCCCAGAGTGACCCCAGAAGAAGAGTGCAGAATACTTCTGAGTATTCTGTACTCTAGAAATGGTAGCCGTCAGCCAGAATTGACTGGACAGCATGTAATAATAATTATCTTTACATGTTACAGAAGGACTCAACAAACTCCATGTCGAGTCACTTTTATATGCACCTAGCAGCTCTTTTTGTGATGATCATAGAGAAAATGAAGCAGATTGTACTTGCTGTTGGCTTTTTAATATTTGCATCTGTATCCTCCTACCCCCACATGGAATGTCTGTTTCTTATCTCTTTATGTAAGGATATCCAAGCATGCCTTTAGATATGAAAGGCTGCCTCATTGCATCATGGTCCCACTGAAAGGAACAGATGTCCCCAATTTCCACAAAACAATCCACCACCATAGATTCAAACAAATCCTTTGTTTTTTTTCCTGTTCTGATCTTGTACACTGCAGGATCCCAATGGCTTCTAGCAGCTTTCAGCCCAGCAGTCTATTAAACCCCCACCAAGTTGACTTGTGTATGAATCATTTTCAGCACCATTATGTTGATACAGCAAAGGGGTAAGGCTGCAATTTCATAAAATGTTAATGTTTAAAAGGGCAACATCAAGCTTGGAAAGGGGTAAGAGGAGCTTGTCGCTTTTGAATATAACAATTTGTGTCAGCTGAGAGCAGGGAAGGTTCACACCCAAGAGCCATATTGGAAAACTTTGTTCCTTCCTGTCAAATAGGAAAGGCCACAGCAAGATTTGCCTGTTCCTGTTAATGTTCGAGGAAGACATCACATGTAATCTTTTGCTAGCTGAGCCGGGAGGGTAAAGGGGACCAATCTTGCCAAACCAAATTTATGCTTGCTGCTGTTATACAATGTCAGAGATTGTCACCCTGCACAAACTGACTAGGAATGCATAACAAGAAGATAAAAGCCTTTTAGGGTTGCTCGGTTCGCAGCATTTTGATCCCTAAGGTTATAGGGCCCAAACCTTGGACTGGGGTTGTCACAAGAGCGGAGGAAAGGCAAGCGAGAGTTGGAAGGAGGGCTGGATATGCTTCCGGGCCTGTTAATTG